AAGGAGCCGGAGCTGGTGCAGGAGGTTGAGCGGTACCGGCTAGATATAGTCGGACTCACCTCCACGCACAGCTTGGGCTCTGGAACCTTTCTCCTCGAGAGAGGCTGGACTCTCTACTACATTCTAAGTATCATTCAATTTTATGGACTTAAGTCATATTTGCATCATGATTCCAATTGATGCAGAAAAATCAAACTGCCTGTCATTCTACTAGTTTGAGTAAACTAAATTTCAGTAAGTCAACCCTTTGAAAACATCAAATTAACTGGAATGTTCTAGTAGTGCAGCTAAACATAGTCACATTGTTGAGAGTGGTGTGTTTTACTGTAAGCTTGGTATTAGGACACTCAACCTGTGTAGTGTTTTGAATTAATCATTTAAAAGTAACACTTCCAACAATTTTGCCATTGTCAAACAATTGTTTGCCAGATATTTAAATCTTTTAAAATCATGGATGGATTATGCCCCCCCCAGCACAGACATGTACTATAGAGGAGCCAGAGCTGTGATGGCAAAGAGACATCTTTCTGGCTGTTTCTCTTCCTGTATTGACCATTAATGTAGTTCTACTGTGCTCCCATCTACTGGACAAGGAGTGTTGCTTGGTATAAATGTTTTTACACAGTACAGTGTTTAAGCTAACCTGTGCTCTGAAGGTGTATGCTGTGGAAGCGAGCTCTATCGCGGAGTACACCAGACACCTGGTGAAGCAGAATGGTTGTGAGGAGGTGGTCACGGTGCTCCAGGGCCGAGCTGAGGAGATCGAGCTGCCTGAGCAGGTGGACATCTTGGTGTCTGAGTGGATGGGTAGCTGCCTTCTGGTAATCATGACACTGAAAGATTCATTTATTTTTAGTGTTGTAAAGTGAAGAGTTCCAGATGTTATGTATCAGTATTACTACAGGTTTATTGGATCCCTGTTAGGAGGTGTGACTATACACTTGGCTTATGAGATGAGATGATATTGGGTTCATGAAAAAGAGATATTTTAACACTATTTTTAAGAAAAGTACAATGACCACATATATGACTGGGAAAACTAGTCTTTCATTTGAACTCAGCATTGTGTATTATCTCATCTTGTGAACTAAGTGTATCATCACACCCATATTAAACGGTGCTTTTTATCTATCAATGCCGACACACTGGTGGTTGAATTGGTGCTAAGGTAGAGTAGGCTAGCTCAGATCATTTGGTACTGGGCCGCAAAGAAAAAATTTTGTGGTTAAAATTATAGTTATTTTTCTTTCATTAGTCTTAGTTTCAAAAACGACTGTTTCCGCCCTTGCCTCACTACCGCACTTGACTCTGGCACGCCATTTTATGCATCAGCGACACAAGCTAACCCTTTAAAAAAAAGAGCCAAAAACAAAATTCACTGTAGAGCTTTTTCGGGAAGCAACGAGCAAATGATGGGACAGCAGAAGGGTCACAGACTGCCAGCAAAAAAAAAGCAGCATTTAAAAGAAAATACCATGATTCCTACCTAAGTTAGGGGTTCATCGCAACAGGTAATACACAAGCTCCACACCCCCTATGCATAATTTGCGGTGACCAACTAGCTAATGAAGCCATGAAACCCTCAAAAATGCTTCGCCACATTGAGACAAAACACTGTGTTAAAAAGACAAGCCCTTGGAATTCACTGACTCTGTATTATGGCGAGTTGATATTGTGGCGGCCCTGCCCAGCCGCTTATGT